CAATCTAGACAGCCTCTTCTCAAGTTGACAGGTTTAACATGATGACTTGACGACCTTGCTCCAGCTTCACAAGGGTTCACAGGTTTCGCCAGAGTGAGACTTGTAAACCGGAACTAAGGAAGCAATGATAGTACAAAATGCCTCCCCCTCCCGTCGCCGAACTGCGCCGGTCATCTGTTCCGATGATTGCTGGACAAAACATTTTGCTTTTCAAAATAATTTCTCTGAAACGGCTTCACACATTGCTACTAATTTGGTCGCCTAATCATTCCTGGGAGAGAATTTGTCAGCAATTCTCATCATGATTGTGTGCCTTGCGGCCCAGAAAAAGGCTTCCGCGTAAAAGCTTGCGTAGAGCACACCGGAAGGCTGCCGAAGCAGACGAGTTCGATATTCGGGATCAGCTGCTCGATCCCCCCAGGAAGAAGTTCCCAGCAAAATCTGAGATTTTGAGCCAACTTCAAAAAAGTGCTAGTTCACCTGTATCACCTGTGCTCCCGCTGATCACATAAGGCAGCGTTCAGACTTCGCGACGGCAGCGCTTCGGTCGCGCGTTCGACGCGATCGATGCATGCGCATCATCGCGCCGAACGCGCGACCGAAGCGCTGCCGTCGCGAAGTCTGAACGCTGTCCTAACGTCTCCATTCCTCTCTGTAACGCGCTAGAGCTGCACCATGGGTTTCCTGCGTTCGGAGACACGATGAACATCACATCCGCGGAGTCGCTCGCATGCCGATTCCTGGAGATGGTGGCCCTAATATTGGAAGACACCAGCTTTTCGGACGCTGTAGTTGACGATTGTTTTTCATGACTCGTCTCGTGAAGGGCTCCGATTTAATAGGTACGTGAGTTTGTCAGATTCTGGAGATATAAGGATTCAGACTAGGTGTGGGATGCAGCCTATTTTTTCGGGTGTAGGCCGCATTCATGCTCAAGATAGAGAAGACAACATGGCAGCAGCACTCACGAAAATTTGTGGTAGGTGTGGTAATTGCGTGGGCAGTTGTTCAGGTGTTCGTTTTACTTCCCCTGGTATTCAGTCTGTAAACGCTCTGGTCCAGCGATCACCTTCAAAGTAAATAACGTGCTCCGCCCATCTGGTCTTCCGAACCTTGGCCAATGCGGTCGCGTCCCTTACGTCGTCGACGGAGTAAGCTCCAAATTCCCTCGCTCACTGGCGTGTAGCGGAGGACTCCGATCGCTCTCGCTCGCTCTTTCGATGGCCTGTGAATCACGTCGATCACATTTTCACGCTAGGGCAGCGGAATCGAAGAGGTTGGCACAGAGACGGTTCTTCATATTCTGCGCTATATGCTCGCTTCCTTCTGCTCAGGCTGTGGTGCCATCATAATTGGGGCATTCAGAAGCATTCGCTCCATTGAAAGTGGGGCATCAGGCGGGCCGAGCTAGTACACATATTATGTTGGTTTTTGTCGCTGTGCGATCTTTGCCTGATAAATTGCTAGTTTTTATGAGGCTGGAATTGGGACATGTTGTCGCGGTATCAAATGAAAAAGAGAACCACATCTACCGGAAGCACAGCGCCAGGGCATTGCCTATATGACTGAAAGCACCATTCATCATAGTGTCTTTCTTATGAGCCCTCTCACAATTCGTGCACATTCTAGTGATGCCACAAAAAGCCTATTTTATAACATGGATAGCCTATTTTAGTTAGTTCGCAAGGGTGGCGGATCGTTTTCGGAAGCTTTTATTTAGAGCTCAAAAGCCGTCAATGGGTCAGAATTGGCCTGAAAACTCATGATTTGGCTTCATTTTCAGTAGAGTGGCTTTCATTTCATTGAAAAGCATTATCGGTTTTACGGTATACCGTTCGTTGAAGTTCTTACAGTTGGAATGTTCTGTTTTGTTGCTCGGAGTTCACACCATCGTCCACCAGCGACTCTGGTCGAATTTTGACGTGAAAGGAACCATGCCCGGGGCAGTTCGACGACGGGAGGGCATTTTGTATTTCTGCTACTTTCCATCGATTTGTCGACCCATCTAGAGAGCCATTTCGTGAGCTTACAAGAGTTGACAGGTTTTACCATGGTGGGAACGAGCTTGCTCCAGCTTCACAAGAGTTCACAGGTTTCACCAGAGTGAGACTTGTAAACCGGAACTAGTGAAGCAGGGAAAGAAAATGCCCCTCGTTTCGAACTGCGCCCCAAAGGCACAATGGGCACGATAAATCGAGTGGGCTTACACGTGGCGAAATTACGTGCGCATGGTAGTCAACTCCTTTTTAAACGTTTTAAGCAATTCTGCACACCTGCAGAAGTCTAACTATTCCATTTGGGAACAATATCAGCTCATTTTTATCTTGTAATAGGATCAACTTCGATCTATAGATTCAAAGCAGCGATTAACTTCCTTCTGTCCCAAATTGGTTCGTGTCACGGGCCAAGCAGCGCTAGCGATGTAGCAGCAACTAAGTAGCCAGTCAACTTTCTGATGAATTTGTGGAACAAAAAAGCTTTGGAAGAATGGTGAATTCAGATGCTGATTACTCCCCTTGCGCTATTGACTGACTGAGTAAAGGAACGAGTTGAGGCCTGCATCGAAACCGATGACAGTACCCTTAAAACTTTACAACTGCAAAATGCACTGCATACTTTCAAACAGTTTTGTTTAAAAGCAAAAAAATTGAGCGTTTTTTACGTTTTTGTCTACCCTGTAGTACCCATCCCTCTGGGTTTCGCAAATGTAGGTATAACACTACTCTGGGGGGGCTACAGATCTGACTCTACATCGCCTGTCTCCCACAAGTCATTGCATAGGCCATATCACATTCAAAAGCTACTTCGATGTAAATGGGATGCGCAAAGCATCCTGAAATTGCTTTATCAGTAACTGAAAGCTGAATTCCTCGACTTTTTTCCAATTTTTTTCTTTGTTTCGAAATTTCGCTCCCTTTTTGTTTTGCTCAATTTTATCGGCCGCTGGGATGTTCTTCAGCGTAGGCGGTGGAATGGTCGGCGGTCATGAAATAGCCCTACTTCTCTCACTCAATTCGGGTTCAGGCTTGTCTGATGTTCTTTTCTTTTTCCTTCTACTTCCTTTCTTGCTCTGCCCAGTACTATCTTCTTTCCAGAGCCTTACAGACTTTGAAGGCAGAGCTCGCGACCAGAAATCGTGGGTAAGAGGGCTGAAATAGGGATGTCAAGGTGGAAAGAAACACTGGTGAAGAAAAAAGCAGAAAAGTCATACCATATGCTCAAATTAAGACCTCTCCAAATAATTTTGCACGACATGCCAGCAAAGAGAGGGCGTGGTCGGACTTGTTTACGGATGCTGTTGTCGATACTCTTGTTGACAACGTTGTCCGTGCCTACGTTCTGTGGTGCATCTTCGAAGCACGACACGGCATCGCGATGTGGGGAATGGCAGCGCCAAGACCCCTCCCACTTCTCCATCCAACCTATTATCTTCTTGAATTTCGAATTCCTACCACGTTACGCGGTTTTCCAAGAGCCATTTCGGTTTTTCCACGATGGAGTGCCTTCGGTGAGGTCGTCGCCGATCAACTGTTGATTTCATCTATCAGAGAACTAGCAGTGTAGTACTTTTACAGCGGCGCTAACTTAGGGTGGCGGCGGTGTGGGGGAGGGGATTATCACTTTCTTTGCGCCGAGTGGTTGAAAAATGGTTGCTTGCAGAGGGAGAGTGCTTTCTTAGCTAATGGAGCGCGCCACTGAAAATGGATTCACTGTGAAGGCGCTAACTGAGCGCCCTATCGCGGGAATCAGAAGCACATCATCGTTGCGACTCCCCAACAGGATCGTATTCGGTCGCTAGGGGAGAAGGGGGGGGTCGTATTTAGTCTAAAAATGTTTTATTTGATGGTTGATTTTTCTTGTTTCGCGGGACGCTGTAAAGGGGAGGGGCGTATTTATTTGATTGTGTGTTGGAGACAGAGGGTTGTTGTGTTTGCTCTAGTTTGCGGCGTTGGTCGTGAATTTTCCTGTCGTTAGGCTTCTCGTGGTTTTTCCTGTTTCACAGTTGTTCACCCGCTCGACAGGACGTTTGTGATCAGGGACCGCGCGAACACCCCCGGACACCCGGGGTCTCTCATATCCCATAGTCTTCACTTCTAGGGGGCGGAGAGCGATTTCGTACATCTTCTGTACCAAAATTTCCCACTAATGATGCACCCTGGCCGCGGAGAATGCTCACTATGTTTATCAGCCTACCTGCTTTTTTCAGAACGAGCGCCCTTCTCAATTCTGCACTAATACAAAACAATTTTCCAAACATTTGAATTGCTTTTTGCTATAACACCTGGTAGCCTGTAAAGCGCCCCCTGTGGTATGATAGCGACTCTGCCAGTGACACGCGTGAGGTGGCGGGTTCGACCTCTCTCCGGCGCGGGCACGACTTTTTGTCCACAACTCAGCATTCTTGTAATGTTCCAAACTGTAAGACAGAGCTATCGAAGAACATTGTACTTTGGTTTGTTTCTGTTTTTTCGCTAACGTGTGATCAAATCCTATTGTGGTATAGAGATCTCATCCTTCTAATGCGAGATTGCTGAAATAACCATGGGCCCGCGCTGAAAATATAACTTTCACCAAACACTGGCTCGACTAGCCCATAACGTACTGTTAGGACAAGTGCACATTCAAGACCCCTTCGATCGTGAATAGACCAAATGAATGGCGTGACCCAAGTGCAGTATTGATGGGCATCACTCACGCAGTCCTTCTAAAATAAGACTAATAATAACAATAATGAACATTAATAGAACATAAGCGTTCGAGCGGAGGATCTCATGTTGTTGTGGACCCACGGCGATGACGCGATGATTTTTGATGTTCGTGATCTTTAGTCCGTTGTTGACGTTTTTGTTGGCTGATCAATGGTCCTGCAATTCGCCTGCGCCTGCACGCTTTCGTGCCAAGCGGTGTAAGGCAGCTGAAGGCACATAGCTAGAAGAAGGCCTTTCTGAAGACTGCAGTACTAGACAGGACTCCCCGTTTCTTGCTCGCCATGGTAGTTCCTTCTTGTGCTACGACTCATCCCTAACAGCATATTCCCCACATCTCGTAAGCCAAAACTGCCTTCAAAGAAGGAGCTCATTTTGATTCTGGGTGGTTGGACTTTCAAAGAGTGAGCAGCAAAAGTTTGATAGCACCGCTAGATCTTTGAAAATCAACCTAGACATCGCCGATACAACGTTTTTTGTTTTCCCTATAAAAATTCAAACCTGTTTACTAGTTGGTGAATCTTCAATAATACTTTTGCTCGTGATCTTCTCCGTTGATGATGATTGTTCTCCAAAATATCTTCTTTAAACTGTAAAAATCATGAGGATTCATGTAAGACGTTCGATGGATCTGTAGCATTCTTTGATGTATTACTGTCACCAAAACCAAAATATTACAACAAAATTATTTGTTTGAATTTCGTCATTGTCGACTTCGCTGGCACCTGTGAAAGTTCTATTTTTCATGAGCATGCGCTTGTATTGCTGCGTAACTCTTTTTGTCAGTTTTTATCACGCCAAACTCTACACATCTGCGTCGCCGATCATGAGTACCAAGCAGTTCGTGGACCAGCAGATTGAATCTTCCAAAGTCGTCGTTTTTGCCAAGTCTGACTGCCCATATTCTCAGAAGGTAATCTTACCTGTTCTTCTTTCTTCATATATCTTGTTGAGAGGCAGAGGTAATGGCAAGTGGAACTTTTACCACACGCGTGATCGGCGGGATCAGCTCCAGCCCAGCCCGCTAAGTCTTCTACTCCGCGGACGGTAAACTGGTAACAGATTCATCGTAAGGATAAGAACACTGACTTGCACATTTGCTGCCTCCCCACCCCCCTCAAGTTACTGTATAGGCCGCAACGTATTTCATATGCTAGTACGATTCTGAGTGTGCTGCATACTAAAAAAGGAACGGGTCTTATCAACCGCCGAATCCTTATCTTTACAAATGAGCATATAGTAAAAACCAATCAACAATATAGTGCCATTGTCAAGTACTGTACCCCACCTAATAAGCTTATTTCCTCCTCCCAGCAAGGGGCAAGCTGGGAGCCAAAAAGTTGGCGACCTCTTGCTCATTGTTATCAGACCTGGTAAGTGTTTTACCCAAAAAGCCTTAGAGGGCTCTGGAAGCCACATGACATTCAGAGAGGGGTGTGCCAGGAAAACAGGGGATTTTATTCCCGCCTCCCTGCCTTGCTCCCAGCTTTCGAAGGTTCCCTCAGCAGTATGGAGTCTCGCATCGCCATGAAGTGATTCGAGGTCTGTCTCCCTTGCTTCCCTAAATCAACTTTCGCGAGTAGGATGAATGTAGCGGTGACCATGCTTCCATGCGGGAGCAAGTCAGCATCACTCGATTACCCAAAGCAGCAGAAGGGGGGTGGGGTTGGAGGGGTATGTTTGATTTAGCTCGCAGTTAGCTGTTCTTCTCAACGAGGGAGTCAGATCGGTTACTATCATTTACCATCCCAAGGCATCCAAATCCCATCTCCAGTGATGAGATCCTTCAGAAATTCTTATGATGAGGTGCAGAGGGAGAACTGATCGATGTACACCCTGATGTATGGGTGCTATCTGCAAGGTAAAGGAGATCCATCGCGTCTTCTGCTGTCGAATCCTTGAAGGCTACTCGGGAATGCTGGATAAAGACACTCAAGTCTTTTCGTAAGAATACAGGCGCTAACCTCTGGATTCTCTTTGCCAGCGCTGAGAAAGGCGAACCCTTCCACAATGTGGGTGTTCTGACGAGGGCTTACCTTCAGAGATCGCAGTTCTGATATTAGTTTCAACATGCTGCTGGTCTTGCAAACTAGTGCCGTAGCTCCGCTACCGCGATACCGTTCTTAGAGGATGACGGTTCGACGAAAATGAGCTCATGGTCGACATTAAGGACCAGTGTTGCAGGCAACAAATAAGCTCCACATCCCCGAGATGGGCTAAGCGTGGCTTCGTACATCATTTGAACTTGAACATGGCGTAAAATGGACTATTCGTGGGATATCTCAATTTGAGACAGTCGTCATCTTGTCTTTTGCTGGAGAATGGCAGCTCCAATGACTGTAATTGTCCCAATGTTAATATCCCATAGGCAGAGCAGGTTCGAACGATGTAAGTAGCCACGCCAGCTGGATTTCGTGGATTTGGAGTTCGCGGAGCGTCTGTGAAGAAACTCCGTGAATGTTCTGTAACTATAAGGTATACCTCATGATACATCATGGGTACCGATCAAGAATCAAAAGTTCCAAAGAGCTAGCAAAACCTGTCTGGTTTGTTTTCAGTTGTTTAGCTCTGAATTCATAGCGCAAAATATGAAGACGTGAAGTTGTCGTGTTGGCAACTTCTTTCAAAAGGCAGTAAATCAAATTATGAATATACTCGAAAGTGAAACCGATTGCGACTGGGTTTTTCACAGGACCGGTTTGTTTGCGGCACAGCAATTCCACCTAGAACGTTAGATAGACCGGAAATGCCCCAGATCACTCTGATGACAAACGCTCAGCCGCCAGTATCATTTTCAGTAATTCATACGAGAAGATTCATACGAGAAGTATGCCAAAAACCACTAACACCTGAAACAACGTCTTGTATAGCCACGATAGCTGAATTGACGTCCTGTTGACCGCCAATGTTGGGGTGTATCAGGGAGGCTGGGTTGGAGACGGCTCCAGTGCGTTTTTTCCAATTGCTGTCGTTTGCTCGCTTCTACAGATGCTGGAGAAAGGACTAGCGTCGCGCCAGACCCAGCTTCTTCGGTGCTTACATAGGGAGGGGGAGGGATCACGCGAAGAGACTAAGTGACAATCTCTGTCGTGTGCGTTCTCTTAAGAATGCGAACAGGCAGAGAAAACGCAGCCTAGTTGACTATTCGACTATGCGATTTCGCTTTTACAATGAGGTCGGGCGGCCAGCCCATGAGCAGGCGAGTATTCTACCTGACCAGACAATTTTAACCCCTAATCGGACGACCTTTGTGGGAGGAGGGCTCAGTCTTCAAGGCGAGTCCAATCCTAATGGTGACCTTCAGACCGTGCGCGTGGCAAGCAGCACCACTTGTCCCTACACCATGTTCATCAATGAGGTGTCGATAGCTATACATTCGTAGTGCAGGGATACTGTAAAACATAGTACATGTTGAATAAATTACTTTTCTAGGCGAAAGCTGCCCTGGAAGGCTTACATCTCAAACCAGACGCGCTGAATTATGTAGTTATCGATGAACGACCTGACTTTCAGGAAATCAAGGATTATTTGAAGGTATTTCAAAATATTTCCTTCCGATTTGTTTGGTGTTCACCCTCTTAAATGACGAGGCCTTCAATGTTCTCCTAGAGAAGCAGGAAAA